GCCTGAGATTCATGTATGTACGGGCACGTGTTCTTCGCAATCCCAGTTCTCAGAGATCCATGGACAGGATGGGTGACCTTCAATCCTGCCCTGCGCGACCACGTCACGGTACAACCTAAAGACTCCACCAGGGCTCCTAGTGGAAGTATTGTTTGCGGCTTACATCCCGATCCTGGCCCTGCATCAGGAACGACCAACGTTCCTCCCGCAGTTCTCAACCACTCAGTCCGAGAATCACCTGCCAAAGTCACTGGCACAGGTTCCAAATTCTTCAAATCGTCAGTATACCCGATCACAGCGTGAGTTGCCCCACTGTCAAGCAAGGCCTTCATGTCGCTGTTCCGTTCCTCAATGACTGACTGTGCCACAGTAACCACCTTGACCTCAAAATCCCTCGCCATCGACCGAATACCTTCCAACTGAGCACTTAAGGAAGCCAACGTAACGGGAGTTCCCTGGGTCGGAGCCGGGACTTGCGTAGCGCCTGCGCCATCACCTCCTACTGATTGACTCGGAGAAGGTGCAGCAGGTGACGACATTGGGACCGCCGGCACGGGCATCCCAGGAACCGTTGGTGTGGGACTAACAGGCATGGCCTGTTGCAAGATCAAAGCAGCATCTGCTAGCATAGACTTTATCTGTTGCTGATTAGCGCTTCCACCACTCGAAGGTGGAACGGGTGGGGGTGGAACAGTGGCAGGTGAAGCCTTAGAGAGAGCCTTTGCCTTAGGATTAGCCTTCCCCTGGGCCTTATCATCAGGCCTGTTACCTGCCTTGCACTCTGTAGCCCGATGCCCTTTGCCGCCACAGTTGCGACACCTCTGTGGTCGCTCTCCAGCGGGTATTGCACCCCAATTGTGCTCAAAGGTGCAGTCCGACCCCTTCTTGCATCCAGCAGGAGATAAGTAAAACGTGCACTGTGGTTTTCCTGGTGACTGGGCATCACCTGAACCAGGCGTCTTGGGGTTCGGTCCTGATTTAGGCGGGATTCCCTTCGGGTTCCTCGTAGGCCTAGGGGGAGAGGCTGGTGGTTCATTTGTATCCTGCGACTCTACACCCTTAACCTTGGGAGGCGGTGCCAAAGCCGGGTTATCCCTCTGCCTCTCGTTGTCCCTGAGGCCCTTATGGTTAAGGGCCTCAAATTCACTAAGAAGTTGAGCATGTAACTTTCCAACCTTGACATCATCGGGCGTGCTATCAACTTGCAACGTATGTTTCACCAAGTTGACTCTGAAGGCAACATCTGGATTATTCCCCAAGGCTTGTTTGCAAATCTTATTCAACGCCTTAACCTGGAGAGCCGCGTCGGGGAGTACCCCCCCCAGTTCTGTCATGCGCGAAGTCCATCTTCTCCACTTTCTCAAACCTTCCACTGTGTCCGCTATGGTGGATGCGGCTGGTGGATCAGAGATCCCGCGAAGTCCAATTTCGCGCTCGCTCAAACTACCGGGTGCATAGATCGTATACAGTTTGCATACAAGCTGCAGTAGCCCACTTACTCTCGAAGCACTCACCTCTTCCTTGATAGGTCCCGGCAGCGCAGCTAAGATCATCGTCTCTATCCTCCGGGAGACCCTGGCCCACTTGGGACGCTTGATGTTCTCGGATGGAGAAGGTTTCGACGTGAGCCTGCTCAAAGGGTCTAGTTGGAGGTACTTGCTATACCAAACTCCCGCTTCTTCAAGGATACACTCCCACAGCTCTTCACTGGTATCGCTCACATCACTCAAGGGAGGCCTGGAGCTATGGATCCAGTCTGCAAATTGCAAGCACGATTCTGGCCCTGCAACCGGAAGTTCAGGCAAAGAGGTAACTCCTGGTTTGATCACCTCAGGTCGCTCCTTATCAGAACCCTTTGGAGAGTTCGCAAGCTCTGAAACCAGCCCTTGGAGCTGTGCCATCCCAGTTAACACAACACTAAGTGGGTCTACATCCTGAGACGGACCCTGAACCGGAGCCTCAGTGCCAAGGTGCAGGGCTGTCGGATCCTGCAGTTCCTCACCAGCCACGTGGTCAGTCTCAGCTGGAACATTCTGTCCAGGTTGCTGGGTGCTACGATGCTCAAGGCCCGGAGGACCTTCCTGGACACGGGTTGCAGGAGGCTGTACCAGGTTAAAGGGGTACTGTAGGTTGGTGCCACCCGGTCTCACCGGAACGTGAGGGCTGACAGCCCCAACAACTTGACATTGACTCTCAGTCACAACTCCGAACTGCATTGCTGAGGCAGGACTCAGTGGAGGAGGTGGAGGTGGAGGAGGGGGAGGATTCCCCGAATCCAAGGGACGCAAGGGTCTCGCATATTGGTTACCCCCTAGAAGAGTACTGATGCTTCTACCAAACCATCCAAATCCAGGAATACCCCCTTGGTTCACCGAGGACTGTAAAGGAATCTGTACATCTGTAGACTGTCCTACAGCTGCCCTTTGTCGTAGGCTCAGATTCTCTGCAGACAAAACCTCCAGGTGTTCCTTCAACCTCCTAGTTTCAATCTCATGTATCGCCATCACCTCCGCAAGCTGTCTTCTCACCTCCGCCTGAATATCGCTTGACGTCGTAGAAGCAGCGGTTCCCACCGGAACCTCCTCACGGGGTGGAGAATACAAATGTGGAGCCGCCGCCTGAAGATCACGTAACTGGCGGAGGGTACCATCGTCCAACAGCGGTGGATCCTGTTGTGGAGTCGTCGGTGGAGGCGGCCGTCTCTCACTCGCCACACTCGCTGAAGACCGGACAGATGCATATTCCACGCCGTCCCGTGCAGATGGAGAGCCATAGCTCTGAAGCTGCGGGCCGCTCACGAGGCCATCCACCACAGCAGGAAGGGACTGAACCGCCCTTCTCATGCCATCCAGAAGTCCTTGACCGCCGCTTCGGGAAGGTCGATATGCACCATGTCCCTCTTGGACACCACAAGCACCAGATGCCAGACTACCAACACCGGGTGCCTCAAACGTCCTTCCCGGGTTCGTATCTCCCCTCTGGGTCACTTCTTCACGTAGCGGGTACCCATTGGGAACCCGAGGGTTCATCTGATCACTCCTCATTGGGGGCCGGGCGATAGTCTCCCCGTCCATATCCTGAGGCCCACCACCACTTGGGTTGACCCCATTCACCATTGTCTCAGCCGCAGCTGGGACAGTCGATCTCGCGGTAGCAGCGTTTGGGCCACTCATAACCTGTCGCGTCAAAGATGGGTCATCATTCAGGTTAGGATTAACCTCGTCAGTAGCAGCAGCCATGTAGTGGGAGTTCTCAATCACAGAAGCAACCACACGTCCATGGGCTCACACTACTACCTTTTTCAGTCAGAACGAACATGCCTCACACATGTCTCTGCTTAGCGCACTCGGTGCTGCTATGCTGAATGTTCATGACATGCTGGCTTCTGCCTATCATGGCGTGAGCCGTGTCTGGTCTTTGCGACCACCGCAAGCCTCTGGCTGCGGTTCTGCGTCATTAGCTCATGTCAGCAAGGGGAATCTCGACATACCCCTATAGATCCCTTTAAAGGGACCCCTAGAACCCCCTCTAAGTCCCATGATCCTCCAAGGAGGGCCTTAGGCACTAACATCCACTCAGGTTCTGGAACTTGGGACCTCACCACCCTACTTGGAGGGGCAGGGGGCTTAGTAAGGGCTCTTGAAGGGCTCCTGAAAATCTATAGGGTTCCTTAAAGGGATCTATGGGGTTTAGGGTTTAGGGTCTACTTGGAGGGGCAGGGGGCATAGCAAAAAGGTTACAAGTAGAGTTATAAGTACCCTAAATGGAGTTACCGCAAATATACCCCTACTTATGACCTACTTACTAAGTCCCCTGCCCCTCCAAGTACTGTTTGGGTAAATACTCGGACCCTCTAGGTTTACTACGGGCGTGACTGCAAAGATATTCTGCGCAGTGCGCTTGCTTTTCCGGGAAGCCCGTAATTGACCACCTACGCGGCTAACATGCTTCTCGTTTACCCATGAGGAGGCAGGTAATGCATTTGCAATTTGCAAATCCCGCAAACCCCTCAAGCCTACTTGGAGGGTCATGGGACTTAGTAAGTATGGGTCTAAGTACCTTAGTTGGAGTTATGAGTAATTCTAAGTGTAGTTACCTTACTTATCATCCCACTTACTAAGTCCCATGATCCTCTAAGTATGTGTCCAAACCTGCAAACCCCAAACCCTGAACCTGCATACTTAGGGTTTAGGGTTTGCCATGTGGATATACTACGAATAAGGGTCCTGATGGTGGTAATGATCATCGGTACCCCAAACCCTGAACCAAAGCATGAGCATGCAGAATAACTAAAGAGGAGGTAGTCTTACTAGACGATACCCAGAGGCTCCAAAGTAGTTCCTTTTTGGGGTTACCTTATAGGATTCTAAATATGAAGCCTAAAAAGGAACTACTATGGAGCGTTAGGGTAGAAGCCTGAATGATTGCCAAAAGTGTTCCTTGGTGTTTCTTAGCACACAAAGCCCATTCTACTTGGTAAACGCCTTCTAGGAACCCTCATAGACCCCTTGTAAAGGAATCCTTGTAGGAGCCCAAGGCTCAGAGTTGCGTTGGCACCGTAAACAGGGAAGCTGAACCCTAAACTCCCAAAGACAAGGTTCCCAAATTTCTACCGCCCCTTCTGTGAGTGCCCGAAAATGCTGCTTCCTCTTAACGTCCTAAAGTTTATAGAGGGAAGAGGCTTCTTGTTTTGTGGTTATGCCTGCATAAACCCCACACCTTACACCCTAAAGGGTGTTTAATAAGGGATCTACATGAAACCACCTGCTTGGAGGATCATGGGACTTAGTAAGTAGGGTTGTAAGTACCTTAATTAAGGCTATTATGTAATGATAGCTGTCGTTACCTTACTTGTAACCCCAATTACCAAGTCCCACGATCCTTTAAGTAGACCCTAAACCCTAAACCCTTATAGTACCCCTATAGATTCCCTTAAAGGGACCCCTTAAGGACCCCAATTACGAAGTTCCATGAAGCACTCAAATGCAGTGGCAAGGTGCCAGGAACACCAGCAACTTCCGGCGAAAGAGCAGCCGAATGGTTTGCCAAAACACGAGGACCAGTACAAATGTAATGTGGCCGAAGAGGACCTCTAGCGGTCAGGATCTAGAGTTTGGGCTTTCGGCTTCATGATTTCGGTTTTAGGATTTAGAGTTGAGGATTTACCGCTGAGGGTTGTTCTCTGCGGACGCCCAAAACTATCAGCTAGAGATAGGCAGCAGGAGAACATCATGACCTGCTGGACCACATGACTGTTAAGAGTAGGGGCCGTTTCCCATATACTATGAATCCCTATATGGTATATGAACCTCAAACCCTTTTAGGGTTCATTTCGTCCTTAAGGGGGGGAACATAAGCAAATTACGCCAGATTACCGCCTGGCCTCGGGGCTTTTCGGGGTTAAGTTGAGGTCTTAGCCTTCAGGGTTTCGTGCCTTGGAGACTGAACTTGAAGGTCTAGCTTCAATCAAAGGGGTAAAGGAGGGACCCTTAATCGGGACCCCTACCCTATAATGGGCTATATAATGGATATATAATAGCCATATGGGGTCCTTATTTACCCTTGGATTCAACTACAATACCCAGAAACTCCAATATCTCTTCATTTTTTGATTGGAAACTCAGCAAAGCCGTACAACACCGAAGATCTAGGCCCTACCACAACCCCCCGACAACCGAAACCAAGCAGCCTCCCGACTATGCAGCTTCAAACATCCGTTAAGTAAGGAAAATACCTGAAATTATGGTTGGACTCCTACTATGATTGAAGCAATACTCCTTGGTTAATAGGTTAAGGGGTATTGCAGTCTCTGGTTAACCTACCCCTTGCTTATGCACGGGGCCCTTAAAGGAACTTCCAGAAATGTCGGATTTGGCAGTTCACGGCTCCAAACCCTACACACCTAGGTATGTAGACTTAGGTCCAGTTCCCTAAATTGGGTTACTGGATTACATGTTATAACCTACTATTCGAGGTTCCCCAGTAAGCCCTTATTATTATTATTATGCGTACCCTCTTTCCCAATATTCTGTGTTGATAAGGAGACCCCAAAACAAAAAGGGCAAAAAGGTAGTACCCAGGAACCTAGGTAGGGATTTAGACCTTGAGTTTCCTCCTTCAGGCTCACGGTGTAGACGACTACCCTGCTCTGTGTGATGGCTTTGACCTGTGTATACCGTATAGGGGCCTGCATAATATCTAATACTAATACGATCCGCACATCAAAAGGGCCAAAGGGTACTACTTAGGAGCCTAGTAAGTAGCTGGAGCCCTGGGCCCTGGGTAGGACTATGTGCAACCCCTTCTCTAACAGTATTTGAATTCCACAAACTCTGCGGTCATGTTTGCTTCTGTCCTTGGCTCAAACTGGCCTTGTATGTCCTTTAAGCCAAAGCTCATGAAATCCCAAGCCCTGCGGCTTGAAGCGTAACAGCACCCTCACAACTCCGCATACCCCCCCCCCCCGGTAAGCCCCTGAACGCCTAAAGGCCCCAAAGCCCCCAAACCCTAAACATCCCTGAATCCTAGACCACTGAGAAGTGCCCCCCACAGCGCAGCCAAAGAGCCGTCCACATCTCATCTGGGAGGATGCGGCCTGCTCGCAATACCTCGGCGAGCCAGCTCCCCAAAGATTCCAAGATCCCTGAACTGAGGAGCTCTGTTTAAATCATATATTGGGAGCCTACAATAACAGAAGGAATATTCCTTAATTCTCTGGGTCTCTACTTGTAAGATCCCTAGCCCCCTGGGAGGCTCGAAAAAGTAGATCCACTGATTTGGGAGCCTACTGAATCATACTTCATATGAACCCCCTTGAGGGATCTACTTTTCTGCATTCTCCCGGGGGTTTTTGAGGGGGTCCATGTCACTCAGAAAGAAAGATCGTAGGCTTAGGGTGTTCATACGGTTGATGATATAAATCCTGCACTACCTTAAGGACCCTAAACTATGGGAATTATGGTATATTCCTTATTATGGGTAATGCAGGATTTATATCATCAACCGTAGGGTCTATGAGTTCTGGGTTCTTTCCTGGTTCCCACAAGGGCGCCATGGGTCTTGGGGTTGACGGCACTTGGCTGGCACCCTCATACCAACTCCTACCCTCTAATGTTCCCGAGACTCCCCTTAGATAAGCTATACCCATAAATCAGATCGAGGATGCCTATGACCTGAGGTATATTCCTTCATTAAGGGTTCCGGATTTGTTGTGTTCCGTTCTCTTTTGCTGCGTTAGACTGAGTACCACTTGAGGCGTCCACAGTAGGGGTAGCTTTTCAGCTGCACTTGAAGGTTTTGCAACCTGCCACCGTGAACCGTCAATAATTAGCCTGCAGTGGATGAACTGTAACCCTGAACCCTCAGTCCGCGATAGCCGTACCGAAATCCCAGAAAGAAGCGACTACATCGTGAGGACAAATGTCTTGACCTTCTGAACTCGCGACCTCTTGCGGAGTAGCGCTTAAAGGATCGTGAGACTTTAGTAAGTGAGGTTAAAAGTACCTTAATTGGGGTTATAAGTAATTATAACTGTAGTTCCCTTACTTATAACCCCAACTACTAAGTCCCATGACCCTTCAATAGACCCTAAACCCTCATACCCTTATAGCACCCCTACAGATCCCTGAAAGGGACCCCTTAAGGACCCTTCAAGCGGAGTGTCAGGACGCTCAAATTGCGTCTGACTAACGTCCGAAGCGTTTGATACCCCGTACCCAGAGACTCCAATATCCCAGTTAATTAAGGAATATGCCTTAAATTATAGTAGGATCCCTAATACGTGTAAGGAATTTTCTTGAATTAAGGGATATTGGAGTCTCTGGGTATAATGCTCCAGGTGTGTACCCGGCGGACCCAGCTTGCTGGGATTCTAAGGGGGAATGGGGGCCTCCTGATTTTAGGAAACCGCGAGTATATAGCATGTGAGGCTTCGCGATCCCTAAACCCCCTTAAACCTAAAGCCATGAACACCGCCAAACCCTAACCCTACACCCATAACCCGCGATATGCGATCTAAGTTAATACTGCTACAGAAGCCACATAATATCATAATAGCTTACACACTCACACAAATACACAGATATGCATACATAAAAAATATGTGTATATATATATGTAAACACACACACACACACTTTTATAAACATTTCATAAGAGCCTCTTCCCACCAACTCTGTGGGTTGTTGAGGATGTGGGGATTGGCTTAAGAGGAACTATATGTACACTCTAAACCCTAAACTCTAAACCCTAGTTCTCTGACTTATGACATCTTGCAACCCCAGTTACTAAGTGATCCTGTATTTAGGGTGTGCCAGACAATCTCAACCTCCGAAGTGGGCAAGTGCGACCTTGCCCGGCAAGCGTCCCCCACTATAGCACTGACGGCCAAAGAAGCCAAAAAAGCAGCCTCAGGCGCGTCAGGATACTTCCAGTTACTACGTTTCAGGGCAGTTGACAGAACGGCTTAGGGTCTACGTCCACCCTTCAGGGGTTCTTACCCTGGTCCTCTTCCGGACAAAGCAGTGTACCAGGAAAAGATGCCTCCAATATCATCGCAGCATGAGTTGTATAGAGTTCCAAGAGGGTCCATATATACTACTATTTTGGAATTAGGATCCCAAAGCCATTATTATCGGCGGTGTGGTGGACACGCCAGTTTGGTCTACGTTCGGGCTACCACCCTGGAGTTCCTGAATTCTGCAGCTAAGCTCCAAAATCCCGAGCCGTTGTACAACCGTTCTGAAACCCTGAACGGAAACCTAAATCTAAACCCCGTGAACAAAAACTCTAAACTCTGAACCAGAAAACATTTCGTCTGGAGCTTAAGGGTGTGGGGTGTGTAGCCCTTCAAAGTTTTACTGGCGAAGAGGCGGACTTGGCTACTGGATGTCTCAAACGACAACTTTCAAGCAACCTAAACCATGAAAGCACAAATCCTAAGACTCTAAGACCCCTGAAACCTAAAACCCGAAGCCCGAAAACCTAAACCATCCTAAACCTAGAGGCCTTCAAATAACCTAAACCCCAAAAACAAAGTCCTAAGACCCTATCACACCTTAAAGGGAACTCCAGAAAGTTGGAATATGGATTAATGGTAGGATCCCCTATAATTTACCTTAAAGGGGTTACGATAATGATATTCCAACTTTCTGGCTTCTACGGTAGACCCTAAACCCGCAACTCTAAACCATCCTATACCCTGAACTTAGAGCGGCCCTGAAAGAACTCACAAAGGCAACCCAAAGCCCAAAACACTGAGACCCCTTCTAGAGGCCCTGAAAGAACTCACAAAGGAAGCCCCCTAAAACCCCTAAACCCTAAAAGCCAAAAGCCCAAACCATAAATCGCCTGAGAGTTGAAGACGATCAACCTTGGCTGGCTACGAGGATACTGCGATTTTGGGGTTCCTAAGGGTACCTGTAAAGGGATCTATAAGGCTACCTTTAAGGGGCTCTTTAAGGGATCTCTAATGGGGTTTGAGGGTTTAGGGGTTGAGGATGTAAATCCTGCATTATCCATAATGAATATACCATAATTCCCATAGTCTAGTTTCCGTAAGGTATTGCAGGATTTAGATCATCAGCCGTACTGCGTTTTTGGGGTTGAGGGTAGGGTTTAGGGTTTTGGTTTAGTTTAGGGTTCCAACTGCAGAGTACCTTTGAATGCCGAAGTCGGGGGAGCCTATTGACGGGGCCTCCAAAAATAATCCCCACATCGATTACGTACACTTCCTGAGAACAGGGTAGGGTCGGGTGCTCTATTCGTCTTGTTGTTGATGAAGATTCTTGCAGGGGTCCCTAAATGGGTTTCATAGAGTCGAGCTGCGATGTCATGTTCTACTAAACCCATATTGAGGACCTGCAGGAATGGTGTTACTCTTAGAGTATCGGGAAACTTGGGTTGGTAAGTCATATAGGGGCCTTAATCATCATCAGCATCGGGTTATGGGTATATTCTCCCATAAGAATAATAAGGAACCCCCCAAAATGGCATTGGCAAGAACTTAGGCCCCTATAGTGGGGCCAACCTCGGGAGCTATCTCCCCAGGGCCCTAGGTACCACGTCCCGTGATCTTTACAACCCTGCAACCTTATTATAGATCCCTTACAGATTCCTTCAGGAAATGCTGTTGAGGGAGCCCTGGAAGTCACCTGCATAATGTAGGAACCTGATTAAGAAACCTTGGGTCTTTATTTGGGTTCCTTATGTGAATCCGACTATATTGGGTTATAAGCCCAGGGTTTCTTAATCAGGTTCCTACATTACCCTAAACTCTAACCCTGAGCTCCTGTGGAACCATGTAGACCTTATCGAAAAACTCTACAGAAGCCTTGATTAGGCTTTGAGGAGCTCCTTGGCTGTTACTAAGTCCCATGATTCTGAACCCTGAGCCCTCAACCCCAGACTAAACCCTCAAGAACACCCCCTTTCATAGGGCCCCCCAAAAGGCACATAAGCAAAAACTAGGATCGGGATCTCCCATATAAACCCCCTTATAATGAAGCCCAATACAGTGGGGATATCCCTACAAAATGCTTATGCTTGCTTGGAGGGGCAAGGGACTTAGTAAGTAGGATATAAGTAGAGTTAAAACTACCCTACATGGAGTTACCCCAATTATAAGCCTACTTATAACCCCACTTACTAAGTCCGCTGCCCCTCCAAGTATGTGCTTTTGGGATCCCTGATTTAAGCCACAGCAACAGCGTGAGAACCTTCAGTCGTCCGCTGGAACGCCAATCGTGGCTAAGAAACCTCGCGCTCAAGGGCTAAAGGGTTTAGGGCTCCAGGGCTTTTGTATTGGGAAACTTGGGTTGGTAAGTCATATAGGGGCCTTAATCATCATCAGCATCGGGTTATGGGTATATTCTCCCATAAGAATAAGCTCTAGGGCTTAGGTAAACTTCGTAAATCAAGGATATCGGAGTCTCTGGGTTTAGGATAGTTAGAGTCCAAGGGTAAACGCAGGGACCCTTAATAAGGACCCCTAAGTATATACCCTTCATATAGCGATTTTATACCCACTAGATAGCCCATAATAGGGTAGGGGCCCCATTAAGGGTCCCTCCTTTTCCCCTTTGGAAGGGTTAAGGGTTTAGGGCTCCAGGGCTCTGGGGCTCTACTTGGTGGATCATGGGACTTAGTAAGTAGGGTTATAAGTACCTTAATTGGGGCTATAAGTAGTTATAACTGTAGTTACCTTACTTATAACTTATAACCCTACTTACTAAGTCCCATGATCCTTTTCGTTAGGGTTTCGGGACAAGGGCACGAGGTTTACGGGTTAAGGCTCTAAGGGTCTAGGCCTCCGAGGCTTTAGGGTTTAGGGGTTTTGGGGTTGAAGGCTTAGCCCCAAGGGTCAAAGTACCTAATAAAGTAAGGGCTCTTAAAGGGCTCCTTAAAGGGATCTATAGGGTTCCTTAAAGGGATCTATGGGGGTTTAGGGTTCTACTATTTGCTTAAGAAACCCCCAAAAAATAAAAATGATAATCCCTATAATACCCCCATAAGGAATATAATTTTTATTTTTTTGGGGGTTCTTAAGCAAATAGTAGGGTTTAGGGTCTACTTATCATACCCCAAGGGTCCAAGTACCTAATGATCATATACTCCCCAAAATCCTAACCTACATAGCTACTATCCTAAAGCCGAGTAGCTAATTATTGGGTCCTTTGGATCCTTACGGTGGGGTTTAGAGTTTCGGGTTTCGGGCTCGGAGGTGAAGGGGTCTTTCTTACCAGAATGATTGGAGGGCCTGAATCTAAAAGTTCTAGGCTTTCTTACCTTACTTGGAGGGGCAGGGGACTTAGTACGTAGGTTACAAGTAGAGCTATAAGTACCTTAAATGGAGTTACCCCAATTATAACCCTACTTATAACCCTACTTACTAAGTCCCTTGCCCCTCCAAATAGAAGAGGCTTCTTTCAGGGTTCCTAAAGTTTGAGGCGTCGGGTTCAGGATTTAAAGACTCCGAAACCCCCTGAGCCAAGGAGTATACCCTAAACCATATGAAGGCCCCCTTCTAGTCTAAGGTCTCTCGGCCTTAATCATGAGGTTTTGGAGTGTCTGACCCCAGCACGTAAGGACTTTGGAGGATGTGGGGTTTTGGGTCTGGGTTTCTATGGGCTTTCTATAAGAAGTTTTTAAGGGTTCTTTAAGGGATTTAAGGTTTTGGTGGATAGCGTGGCCTTCATGATTGCAATAAGGGTTCCTGTAAAGGCTTCTGTCAGTGTTTTATGGAGCGTTTGCCAGGTCTGCATAGCCCTTAATTAAAGAATATTCCTCGAATTATCCGTCGCACCCTTTGGGAGTTTCCGAAAAAAGGGGACCCTAATCTAGTACCTTAAATAGTAGGATCCCTATTATAAGGACCCCATAATAAGGTACCCCTAATTTTCGGAAACCCCCATTTGAGGTCTGCTTGCTTAAGAAGCTTTGGGAGCTCTCACGATTTTTGAGGCTAAGCCAGGCTCCTCTCTGAGTTTTCTAAAGGGTTCCATAGGGTTTTGTTTAGTGTTGTTTAGAAGGGGCCCCCACCGTGTAATCGTGGTATAATAGGAATATAATAGGGCCCCCTAACGTAATCCTTATAGTCACTATTAAAGGGTGGGGGCCCCTTCTAAAGTGTTCTACGTGTTTCGGGGTTCAGGGTTCTGGGGCCTAGTTGAGGAAAGCACCTTCAATTATGCCCTGACCTATATACCCTCTCTCGGGCCTTAACCCCCAAAGACCCACCCGCCCCCGCCCAAAGCCCTAAGCCATAAAGACCCCACAGCCACAGAACCATCATAAAGGCCGGAGGCAGTCCTGCCAGCATAGGGGTTATGGTCCCTTTTTGGGTACCCTAAATATTAGGTGCCGTATTTTATGAGGGACCCACAGAGGGACCATAATTTTGACAACCACCCAGTAACCACCCATAGATTAGCCTCCATGATGCAAAGTTTGGCCGTACAGCCATGGCCATCGATTAAGGCCCTAAAGCCGAGGCCACCCGGTTTAGGGTTTGGGTTCACGTATTAACAACCCACGATGAGCAAGGTTTTTGGGTGTAACGTCGCGTAACTATAGAGAGCGCGCACGAGAGAGAGAGAGAGAGCGAGAGACAGCAAGGGAACAAGTTTACTAGGAAATGAGGCTTCTATATCAAACAGGCTGAACCTTGAAATACTGTGAGTATTGAAAGCCGACAGTGCTCCACTGGATGGGCCTGCGGATGCTAGGTGTGGAGTGTCGGTTCATTACACCCCAAACTACCTTAAGTCCTAATTAAACCCTGAACCGGCCCTACCCCGTAGGTTTGTGCTTAAGGACGTGCGATCGAGGTTTGTCCGTGATGGGTCTATGGGTTATGGATGTCGAAACTATGTAGATTGTAGATAATCCTCCAAACACGGATCCCGTGAACAAGAGCGATGTTCTCGTGCCCCCCCTCAAACCCCTGAACCTGAAACCCTGAGCCCCAACAACCCATAAACCCTACACCCCCAGGCAGCCCTACACTCGAAAGCACACTAAGCCTACACCACAAAACCCTCAACAACCTTATAGGAACCCCTACAAGAAGTTGTGGAACCCCTACATCATAGGATCACGGGACTTAGTAAGCAGGGTTACAAGCACCTTCATGGGGGCTACAAGCAATTATAACTGTAGCTAGGATACCCAGTAACCTAGGAATAAAAAGGCCTCTCTTTTTGGTATTGGGTAACTTTATAAGGAACCCAGGACTACAAAAAGGGAATAAGGGTACTACTGGAGAACCTAGCCTAACTTATAACCCCAATGACTAAGTCAAAGCGATCCTTGGACCCGGAATCCTCATAGACCTCTTATAGAACCCTTTCGGAGCCCTTTCCCCAAGGGTCCAAAGGACCCAATAATTAGATACTCGGTTTCAGGATGGTAGTTATGTAGGTTACGATTTTGGAGAGTATATGATTATTAGGTACTTGGACCCTTAGGGTTTAAGCTACTGTCCCATGATCCTTTAAGTAATATGCCCATCCAAGCAGCACATCGTAGTTGCGCGTCGCTTCAGAGAGCTGGTAGATGCTTCGTGGATCGACATCTGAGTCGGGTCGGAGGGTTTAGGGCTTTATGGTTCAGGGTTCAAGGTTTGAGTCGGGTGTTTACAGGAGTTGCAGCTCGAGTTGTAGGGTTCTTGAAAACAGCCCCAAAACATGAAAACTCTATGCAAAAAAGCTGCAGCAATCTAAAGTCTAGGCCTACACCCTGAACCCTAAACCGCAGCAGTTCTTGCGACCTGCCAGCCTGCTATTCTGGGTATTTGGACTCTGTAATGTCTAAGGCATCGAAAGGACAGCACATAACTATAATACACCCTCAGCGGGATCTACTTTCGAGGCCGGATTTGGGCATACCATGCCAGTCACGGAAGGGAATCCGAAGTTGGGACCAAGGGTTTAGGATTCAGGGTCTAAGTTGAGGGTTTAGGGTTTGGGGGAAACCCGACACTTGATTCCTCATTTACTGCCAGATCTATATACATTAGATACAACTGAGGTGCGGGAGAAATCCCAACCCCAAATCCTACAATGGACGCACAAAACAAACTCAAGCCCCATGGCCCTGAGACTCTAAATCCTGAAACTAGCAACAGTGTCGAACCTTGTAAGGGACTTTTCAAGTTATAGAATCCCCAGAAAGACCGCTATAGACCCTTGATGTCAACCTTATAAGCCCCACAGACCCAAGAAGGACCTACGATCTCAAAACCTAAAACCTAATATAGGGGCCTCAATGATTACCTACACTATGTGGGGTTCCTTACTATGGTTCCAGGATAACATACCCCCCAAAATCTCCCAAACCCCTAGTCTGATTATTGGGGCCCCTAAAATAGAACCCTACTATAGATCCCTGAAAGACCCCTTTATAGAACCCTTGAAAGGGGCGGGCCCCATCATTATTATTGTTATTATTATTATTATTATTATTCTTAGCATTGGTATTATTATTGGTATTATTGTTATTATTAGTAATATTTTTCTTATTAGCATTGCTATTTTTAAGGCCCCTGTATCAAGTTCAGCACGAGATGCTAAACATTCCCATGCGATTGGCCCAGTGCTTCCCGAAGCCCGATCTCGGCTGGGTTGGGACTCTGACTTAGGCTTTAGGGTTTAGGGTTTGAGGTTTTAGGCTTTAGGGTTTAGGGTTTGGGGTTTAGGGTATAGGGTTTAGGGTTTGGGGTTTAGGGGATTAGGCTCTAGGGTTTCGCTTTGGGGTTTAGGGTCTAGGGTTAAGGTTTAGGGCTTAGGGGGTTTAGGGTTTGGGGGATCAGGGTTTAGGGTTGAGGGTTTAGGGGTCTAGGAGGTTTATAAGGTTCAGGCGAGTCTCTCGGACTTAGAAGTTCCAACTCAATATAGGAGCCTACTGCTAGATCGAAACTACGGTTTTATAGGGATTATAGTGCCCCCCCAAAAAAGGTTACAGATTATCTACTCTACTAGGGGAGTCTCTCGGACTCAGAAGTTCCGAGTATTATCGGGACGATCACTGAAAGGTTTAAAAGACCGTTTCGATGGTATGCTACAGTGTACGGTGGCAGAGGGGATTTCAGGTAACTGGGAGAGGAGAAGCTCCTGTGGTCCGCCCGTCCCTCCCTAAACCTCCTTTAGAGGTTTAGGGTTTGGAGTTTAAGGAGCATTCAGGTCCGACCAAATCGAAAGCTCGGACACTTCTTTCTTTTGACTGAGGGTTGGATACGGCTGCTTTGCTTCTTATGGCGCGTGACAAGGATTTGACACTGCTTGTCGGTCATAGGGTTGTAATTAAAAATTAAACCGGTTTTGAGTGCCAACATTTAAAGGGAACCTGAAAGGAACCCTTGTGAACGTAGTGAAAGACCCTTAAAGGGACCCTTAAAGGAACTCTGAAGGCGCCATCAAGAGTAGGCCACAGGTCGATTCGCGAAAAAAGAAACCCTTAAGAACCTAGTGAAAGACCCTCAAAGGGACCCTTGAAGGAACCCTTAAGAACGGAGTGAAATACCCTTAAAGGGACCCTGAAAGGAACCCTTGAGAAGGTAGTGAAAGAGCCGCAGCCAGCCTCTGGGAACCGACGTAATTCTGGAAGTTTCAAGCACCAACAAGCAGGACCCTCCTTGTACCCTCAAATAGGGGTATATGTTAGAAGGGGCCCCACCCTGTAATAGTGGTAGACAGTTTTGCAGGGTGGGGGCAGCTTCTAAGGTATATGGTCCCAAATAAGGGGCATTTAGGATCTAATAGAGGGTAGATGGAGGGTCTAGGAAACTAACTCTCTTCTTCAACAACCGGGCCCAAAAAAATTCAAACTTTCTAGGATAGAGCTAATACATAAGGCCAAAAAGCTTAAAGTTCCCCCGTTCACCCTAAACCCTGAAACCCTGAAACCCTCAATTATAGATCCCTTATAGTAACCCTTATATAGACCCCTTTAAAGGAACCCTAAACTTGCCAAATCCGATGAGAGCCCCGCCTCCGAACTCCTACTTGTCGGGTATCATGGGAAACTAAAGGTCAACTTTTTGGTCATATGGGAGTTTCCGAAAATTAGGAGTACCTTATTTTGGGGTCCTTATAATAAGGGTCCTACTATTTAGGGTACTAGATTGGGGTTCCCTATTTTCGGAAACACCCATATAGGAACTACATGGGGTATATACTACCCCAAAAGGGTCCAAATAATGTAGGAACCTGATTAAGAAACCCTGCGCCTAGAACCCCGAAATAGTAGGGTTCATAGAAGGAACCCAAATAAAGGCCCAAGGCTTCTTAATCAGGTTCCTACAATACCTCAATCCGAAACGTGCTGGTTTAGCATTTAGGCATATAGATACAGGTGCTTTCGAGCAGAAAGTTTAGGGCTGCGGTCTCCCCAAACCCTAAGTGTCCATGTACCCAAATAGTATATACATTGGCCTTAATGTAGTCCCTATATAGGTACATTGGGCCCAAAGTATGTACTATTTGGGTACATGGACCCTTAGGGAAAACTGTATACTCAATTTAAAAATGCTAAAAGCCTCTGCGCAGCATCGGAATCCCCAAATCCCTCAATGCTGAACCTTGAACGCCTAAATGTTATTAAACCCTGGCACCTAAATCCTCAAGCCCTATAGAGCCTAAAAGCAGGCCTTCAATCCAAACCCTGAGCCCCAATTAATCCTAAATCCTCCCACCCTAAAGCCTAAACTTGATACCGTTGTACGCCACTCTCTAAAGACTCCTTCCCTGACCCTGAAACTCCTACCGACTGAAAAAACCAAAGGCTCCATGTACCCTTATAGTAGATACTTAAGCCTTAAAGGAGTCCCTATATAGGTACTTTTAAGGCCTGAGTATATACGATATATGTACATGGAGCCTTAGGGAAAAGTCTATTCCCTCAGGCGCGCAGCAGGACATTTTCAAGGGAAACTCCCCGTTGCACAACGGGGTCCGGCGTGACCGACAGCTGTCGGACCTCACCGATCCACTAATGAAGGGGGCTCCTTAAAGGGATCTTTAGGGTTCCTTAAAGGGATCTATAGGGTTCCTTAAAGGGATTTATGGGGTTTAGGGTTCAGGGTCTACTTCACTACCCAGAGGCTCCATAGCAGTTCCTCTTTAAGGTTCAGATTTAGAATCCTATAAGGTAACCCCAAACAGGAACTACTTTGGAGCCCCTGGGAAATGTAGGGGGTTGTGGACTCCTTTCTCGTATATGTACAAGTAGGAACGCCAAGGAGTGATATTGGCAATTATTTAAACTTCAAAACAAAGCCCTGAACCCTAAACCCTGCCCAGAGACTGCAGAGATTTTGGATTGAATTTTGGGGCTTCGGGTTAAGGAGTTAGGTTTGGGTTATAGCGACTAGGACTAGGAGTTAGGATTTCGGCGTAATGTGGATTCTGTTTTCTTGTTTTGGCTAGGGGGCTTCGCAGATGCAGGGTTCAGGCTTATCTGAATAACCGTATAGCTATGGATCAAAACATACTATTGGGGGTTTAAATTTTTTGTATGGTTTTAGGGCATCTCGCGTGTGAGGGCCCTCCCGAGATAAGCGAAACCTCGCTGATATCAGGGGGTGGTCGTGTTTCAATTCTTCAAGCCTGAAAAACCAGTGTGAGCTTGAACAGGCAGAATCGGGTTTTGAGGGATTGTTCAGGAACCACCTTGATAAACTAGTCTACCACGAAGAAGCTGTAAGGCAAGGAAACGATGTTCAGCCAACATAGCAACACTAACATTAGAGGTGGATGGGTTGTTCAGGCAAGCCAGCAGACATAGACACCCCAAGGGAATCTTGAGGTTCCTGACACTGGCTGGGAGGGTGCGTGACACGCTATAATCCCTTGTTGGAGTCAGCACCTGCAGCGCAAGCTACGCCACAGATGGTTGGTAAGCTTTCGAGAGAGCGCCATCTTTGTTCTACTTCTCGTTGTCAGCTTCATAGTCATCATCGGCATCACCATCACCAATATAAGCCCTTAATCCTCAACAACACAAAGGAGCAAACAGAAGCCAGCCCGCCACCTTCTCAGAATAAACCCTTAGTTTATGGAACCGTAAAGAGGTCACATGAGACAACCCTAAGCCCCAACTAGCCGCAGTCTGAATGACATGCTTCGGGCAAGGATTCCTGTAAGGGTTCTGTAAGAGCACCAGAACTAAGGGCTTAGGGTATACCGTAAGGGTCTATGTACCAAAATGGTATATACTTTGGCCTTGAAAGTAATCTCATGTAATCTCTAAGTACGGGAACATTCCGAAGATTATTATACCATGTGAATACGCGGTCCGTTAGGGGCACATTTACGGGCGCCGTCCGTTTCTGACACTAGAAACTCATGTTGCATGACGATCAGCATGATGACAGATGATGATCATGGCGGTCAACTGAGACTAGGATGCTGCTGAAGCTAAAACTCAGAACCCGACCGCGGTGGTTTAGGAGCGTGACGGGATTTAGCTAAACTGAAGCGCGTCCTGGAAAGCCGCCATCAAGTTTAGCGACTTTGAGGGTTTGGGTTTAGGGTTCAGGTTTTAGGGTTTAGGGTTTTTAAAGTTTGGGGTTCCATGCGGCAGATGAGCCCCCAGTGAGTTGAAATAGCCCACATGGTCTTATATAGGAGTATCCGAAAATCGGGGACCCTAATATGGTACCCTAAATCGTAGGATCCTTATTATAAGGACCCCAAAATAAGGTACCCCTGATTTTCGGAAACTCCTGCATCGGAGGGTTTAGATTTCAATGAGGGAATCCGGCAGTGCAGCACGCGGAAAAATCCTAAACCTTCAACTCGACATCCCTGGACCTCAAACTAGACAATCGGGGACCTTACCCGGACCCCCGGGAGGATCCAAAAAAGTTTAGGGTTTAGGGTTTAGGGTTTTGGGTTTAGGGTTTAGGGTTTAGGGTTAGGGTTTAGGGTCAGGGGTTTAGGGGTTTAGGGGTTTAGGGTTTAGGATCCAAAAAGTAGATCCCTTAATGGGAGTTCCTATAAAGTACCCTTAGTAGTATAGGGCCCCAAATTAGGGGATCTACTTTCTAGATCCTCCCGGGGGTCTGGGTAAGCATATAAAGGCTAATTAAGCTGATTAGCACCTGGGCCCCCGAACTTCCGAACTTCAAATCTAACACCCGATGAACCCTGTGACAGTCTACTTAAAGGATCATGGGACTTAGTAATTGCGCTTATAAGTAGGGTAACTACACTTATAATTACTTATAACCCCAATAAGGTACTTATAACCCTACTTACTAAGTCCCATGATCCTCCAAGTACAGCAGAAGCCCCAAGGTTGGCAACCCAATAGCCTCAATCCTTACCCTAAGGCTCGCAAGAGGGTCTTGGGCTTTCTGGGGAAGGGTTTCGGCTTTGGGGGCTAGGGTTTGGGATCTCACTACGAGGGTCCAGGAGCATTAGGGTAAGAGCAATGTATAGGGAATCCCAGCGCTATGTGGCCTTAATCCGGATTCCAACTTTCTGGGGCTTGCTGTAACCACTTACAGCTACAAGCCCCAAACCCCAAGAGCCCTACCGCCCCCACTCCTCCCGGCAAACCCCTGAACCCTTACCCCAATGGTCCAAAGGACCAATAAGTACGTACTCGGTTTTGGGATAGTAGTTATGTAGGTTAGGTTTTTGGAGAGCATATGATTATTGGGTACATGGATCCTTGGGGTAAGGGTCCAAGTACCTAATCTCCCAAATAGTAACCTACATAACTACTATCCTAAACCCAAGTACCTAGGCTAGGGTTCGGGCTATGGTGGTTTAAGGGTTCAGGGTTTAGGGTTACAGGGAACTCCAGAAAGTTGGAATATAGATCAAAGGCAGGATCCCCTATAATTTACCTTAAAGGGGTTACGATAAGGATATTCCAACTTTCTGGCTTCTACTGTACATCAACCAAATTGACCTGCATTTTTCATGACCGGGCTGCGACGGAAGAATCCTGGGTGCGCGTGGTGCCGACCGTGGCGCAGGTCTGCTCCGTTTGCAGCCTCCCGAAACCCAAAGGCTCCATGTACCATTATAGTAGATACCTTTAGCCTTAAAGGGGTCCCTATGTAGGTACTTTAAGGCCTAAGTATATACTATATTGGTACATGGAGCCTTAGGGAAAAGGCAAACCCAAGGTGCTTTGGTTTAGGAGTCCAGGACTGGTAATATAGGGGCCTGAATAATTAGAATCGGGTTTCGGGGCCCATTATGCCATAACTATAATAAGGAACTCCCAAAATAGCATAGGTAATTATGTAGGCCTCTATAGTAATCGGGAGGCCATGGAACTTAGTGCCTAGAGGCTCATACCGTACCCCTTTGAAGAGGTTACCTACTTTTCTATATAATGATCCTAACTAAAGAACTGGGTACCCTAAAGGAAGGGGTAGGGTGTGAGCCTATAGGTAAGCAAGGTTGTAAGTTGCGTAATTGGGGTTGTAAGTAATGAGACTGTAGTTACCATTTGACCGCAAGTACTAAGCCCCTGGATCCTCTAAGTGTGGTTTAGGGGCTTGTGCTTGCAGGCTCTTTTTGCATGGGCTCCGGGTGTTCCCCTAAACCCGAAACCCTAAAACCTACACCCTAAACCCTAAACCGTGTTTTTTCTGAAGTTTGAGGGGTCTGAGCACCTGTACTCGTCTTGTGTTTCTTCAGAAACTTACGGTAAAGCCCCATAAAGTTGGAAACCGGATTAAGGCCAAATAATGGGATTTAGTACAATGGAGACTATAGGTAAACCCTAAAATCCCTAAACCCCCTAAACACTTCAACCCTGAACCCCTAAAGCCCTACCCCCTAAACACCTCAACCGAGGATGCCCCTATTTTTTGGACCCCAGAGGGAGGCTCAGGGCTGACAGCCTAAACCCGAAAGCTGAGCTCCCACGGCCTAAGTTGGAGGATCAGGGGACTTAGTAACTAGGGTTATAAGTACCTTAATTGGGGTTATAAGAAATTATAAGTGTAGTTACCTTGCTTATAAGCCCAATTACTAAGTCCCTTGATCCTTTAAGTACCCATAAACCCACAACACCGCCCGGTCTTCTCAGGCGTTTTGGCCGGCACCGGCAGGGCAAGGAGCCTTTGGACGAGGCAGAGGATTGGGTTGCCTACTTCGAGGAAGTAGGTGGCACGAGCCTCGCACTTGTCGTGGTAGCGGTCGTGCCACATGTCGTACCTATCCTCTGCCATCTGTTCCAGCGCATCGGCTACATGCCGGCAGAGGTTGGCCCTTTCGTCCGGGCTCAGGCGGGCAGCCAAGTTGGTTTTAAGGCTTAGCTTTCAAGTCGTTGGGGTTGTGGAACCCTAAACCCTAAACCCTTAACCCTAAACCCTAAACCCCTAAACCCTAACCCCTAAACCCCTAAACCCTAAACCCTAAACCCCTAAACCCCTAAACCCTAAACCCCTAAACCCTTAACCGGAGTACGGTCTGAAACATTCCACCCAGGGACCTGGAGTTAGGATGTCCTGGCTCGAACCCGACGACTATGGTTTAGAAGGGGCCCCCACCCTGTAATAGTGACCATAAGGATTATATTAGGGCCCTATTATATTTCTATTATACCACTTTTACAGGGTGGAGGCAGCTTCTACACTATGGTTAAAAAAACCGGGGAACCTTGTTTCTTGGGTCAGTCCCTGCAACAATGGTCCTAGTGTTTTGGGTCCATACTATGGTCCTTCATGTTCTGAGATATGTAATGTTATGTAGGATATGTAATGTTATGTAGGATGCCTCATTTGCAGGCTTTAGCCAAAACCTTCGTGTTCAAGACCGTGAACCCCAAAATCCCTAAGCGTTAAACCCTAATGCTTAGACTCTACACCCCCGGGGCGAATGTTTTGAGCTACCGATCCTTCTGCGTTGCAGACTCTTGCGGAGTAGCAGAGTGCGTGGAAGTGATGAATTCCCTACTCCGGCTACCCTAAGGCTCCATGTACCAATATAGTATATATACTTAGGCCTTAAAGTACCTACATAGGGACACCTTTAAGGCTTAAGTATCTACTATAATGGTACATGGAGCCTTTGGGCTAGCGAAGTAATTGCTGCGATCCCAATACCCCTTAATTAAGGAATCTACTGAATATACCTTAACTCATAATATTAGGGCCCCTATCATTTGAGGTAGGGGTATTGGGTTCTCTGGGTGCTGCGCTTATTCATTGCGGACGGCCCTAGGGCCTTTTGTGCTAGGAGGAGGCCAGGGGGGGATTCCTCAAGCCTTAAACTCTACCTGTACCCATAGGCTCCAAAGTAGTTCCTTTTTGGGGTTACCTTCTAGGATTCTAAATATGAACCCCAAAAAGGAACTACTATGGAGCCTTTGGGTAAATCCTAAATCTCAAACCGCTTGCCATGAGAAGATGCCTGTCCATCCTGCCACCATTAGTGTAGTCGGAGAGACACCTTGGAGACGGGTGTAGGGTTTAGCTGACGGGATTGGGCATGGGGTTTAGGATGACGAGAGGCCTAAGCCCCTCTACATGGGTAGTTGTCAAAATTTGGGTCCTTGTGTGGGTACCCTAAATATTAGGTGCCGTATTATAATAGAGACCCAAAAAGGGACCATAATTTTGACAACCACCCACATGATTACCAAGTAGGGTTAAGGATTTGGTGTTCAGGGTTTTTGGTTTAGGGCTGACGGCGTAGGGATTCCTTTGAGGCTTCCTTCAGCAGCTCCTTCCAGGGTCTAAGGATAACTGTATCCAAGGGTACAAGGAGGGACCCTTAATTAGGACTATCCTTAATATAGCCATTATATACCCATTATATAGCCGATTATAGGGTAGGGGTCCCCATTAAGGGTCCCTCCTTTTCCCTTTGACTGTAGGGGCTTCGTAGATCCCAAAGACTCCAGAAGTCCTTTATCGAGCAATACACCGTATACTTGAAGGATCATGCGACTTAGTAACTAGGGATATAGGGGTCCCTTTTAAGGGATCTATAGGGGTGCTATAAGGGTTTAGGGATTAGGGATTACATGGAGGATCATGGGGCTTAGTAAGTACCTTAAGCGGGGTTGTAAGTAATTACAACTGCAGTTGTCGTTGCTATAACCCCAATTACTAAGTCCCAGGATCCTCCAAGTAAGTCATATTACCCAGGATACCCAGTAACCTAAGAAAACAAAAAGGCCTCTCTTGTTGGTATTGGGTAACTTTATAAGGAACCTAGGACCACAAAAAGGGAATAAGGGTACTACTGGGCATTCTAGTTACAGATCCCCTTACGTTGTGAGGTGTACTGTCTAGCTAAGGAGCTTTGGAGACTTTGGGCAAAGCCCAAACCCTAAACCCGTAAACCAGCATCCCAAAGGCCAAACCCTCAAACCCTGAAGCCCTAAATCCCAGGCCAGAAACCCTAAACTACCCTAACCTCCTAAAGGGAATTTCCGAAAGTAGGGGACCGTAATAAAGCACCCTAAATAGTAGGATCCTTATTCTCAGGACCTCATTTTCGGAAACTCCCTCAAGACCCCAAAGCCCAAGTCTTGCCCAGCTGCACGTCGACCTTTGTGCCATCGTCTTCAAGCTCCGGCTCCTGGAAAAAAGTTGAACACCGGGTTTACTTAAAGGATCATGGGACTTAGTAAGTAGGGTTATAAGTACCTCAGGCGGGCTTAGAAGTACCCAGAGAATCCAATATCCCTTAACTAAGGAATACTCCTTAAATCGTACTAGAGATCCTACTATAATTTAAGGCATATTCCTTGACAGAGGGATATTGGAGTCTTCAGGTAATTACAACTGTAGTTATCTTAATTACTACCCCTATTACTAAGCCCCAGGATCCTCCAAGTAGGGCTTTGGGTGCAGTGGTTTGGGGATTTAGAGCTTTAGGGTTTAGGGCTTGGGTAGTAGGGTTTAGGGTTTAGAGCCTTCGGGCTTGCAGGGTTTAGGGTGTAGAAGTTATCATAGGGATCCTTAGGGTTCCTTAAAGGGTTTCCTTAAATCATAGGAATCCTTAGGGGTGTAGGGGGAGGGGGGGTAGGGTTTAGGGTTTAGGGTTTAGGGTTTAGGGTTTAGGGTTTAGGGTGTAGGGGGAGGGGGGGTAGGGGGCCTTAAGGCCCATAATAAGGACTAATAAGGCCTATTTAAGGAAATATAGTCCCCTACACCCCTCCCCCCTACACCCCTAAGGATCCCTATGAAGTTAAGGGTATGGGGGTTGGGTACTGGCTCCATGCAATAGCAATCCATCATGAGGGTACTGTGACCGCCAAAACCAATTATGAACATCATCCAACTGTGACTGCATTTGGGCAACATCCAAACCAGGCGTTGATAACCAGAACGCATTTATTACGGCCCCAAAAAAGCACGTAAGCAACCATAAAGATAGGGATATCCCACATGAATCCCCTTATAATGAAGCCCAATAAGGTAGGGACATCCCTCTAGAATGCTTATGCTCATGTATTTTTCGGGTCCCAAATTTATGGAACCCCATGGAGCCTTGCAGCCGCAATGCCCTAGGCCCTAAACCCTAACACGCAAAATGGAGACTCCCAAACCCCAAGATGCAGGAACATACTCAAAATTCCGAATATGGAACCCCAAAGGGTTTAGGGCTTAGGGTTCCCTTAAGGGTTTAGGGTGTAGGGTTCCCTTAAGGGTTTAGGGTTTAGGGACCATCTGCAACTTAAGGTACTAAGCTTTAAACCTTGAGCCCTAATTAAGCTTAAAACCCGAGGCGCTAAGCCGTGAGAAAGCCAGACTGTGCTGGAACCTGCATGCACGCCCTTCATTTAAGCCGCAAACCCTCGAGTCCACATAAGACCCGTAAAACCCCTGAGGGTCCGCACTCTGTAACACGAAACCGTAGACCCCTAAACCCTAAACCCCGAAAGGGCCTGAAAACGGCACTCTGTTGGAGTCTGAAAGCCCATGATCGAGTCATCGGTGAAGGACCCGGACCTCAGAGTGGCTCACGTTTCTTTGGCTTAGGGTTTCAGGTTTAGGGATTACTTGGAGGATCATTTGACATAGCAAGTAGGGTTATTCGCACCTTAAGTGGGATTACAAGTAACTATAACCGTGGTTATCTCATTTCTAACCCCTTTTACAAAGTATCAGGATCCTCCAAGTAGGGCTTTGGGTGCAGTGGCTTGGGGATTTGAGGCTTTAGGGTTTAGGGCTTGGGTAGTAGGGTTTAGGGTTTAGGGTTTAGGGGTTTAGGGTTTAGGGGTTTAGCGGTTTAGGGGTTTAGGGTTTAGGGGTTTAGGGGTTTAGGGGTTTAGGGTTTAGGGGTTTAGGGTTAGGGTTTAGGGTTTAGGGGTTGAGGGTTCGGGGTTGGGAGTCTGGGGCTTGGATTTAGAGCTGACGGTTTCGGGCTTCAAGGTTTAATCTACTATTTGCTTAAGAACCCCCCAAAAAATAAAAAAATATATATCCCTTATAGGGAAAATATAGGGATTATATTTTTTTATTTTTTGTGGGGTTCTTAAGCAAATAGTAGTAATTAGATCTGAAGGCATCAAGGAATCTAGACCCAAGAGTAACCTAGGAATAACAAGCGTGCCCCTTTTCGGTTTAAAGGGACTTAGAAGGGGACCTGAATCCTAAAAAGGGAATAAGGGCCTACTCTAGGTCCTAGGAATCTATTTCTTCTGAAATTTCAAAGATTGCGCTTATGCTTGTCTGCAGCTGCTGCTGCAGAGGGTCCTGCCGCCCCCGATGTGTGCCTTGGTAGCTTCCTGTAGCGCCTGCTCCCAGACCTCTTCGTCGTCGTCTTCGTCCAAAGCCACCCACCAGGCGACTTGTCTCCCTAAACCCTAAACCGTCGCGGAGGGTGTTTTCTGCAGGCCTTTAACATCGAAAATAGCCGGCACTGTGGGTCGAACCGCTTGCCTCTCATCCGTGTTGGCGACTGACCTCCTCCTGCGGTGGGTGGGTGGTTGCGTGGGTGGGTGGCGGGTGGGTGGGCGTTCGTTAAATAAATTCTTTGCAAACCCTTTTCCGACAGGTCTCGGGCTGGAAGAGCTTCGGGTTTACTTAAAGGATCATGGGGTTGTGAGTATGGTATTAACAGTTAAAAAACTAGTTACTTATAAGCCAATTCAGCTACTTATCACCCTACATACTAAGTCCCCTGATCCTCTTCAAGTACTAGGATGCCTAGCAACCTAGGAATAAAAAGGGCTCCTTTTTGGCACTGGGAAACTTTTTTAAGGAACCTAGGACTACAAAAATGGAATAAGGGTACTACTGCGCATCCTAGACTAGAATGCATCTGAAAGCAAGGTGCTTCTGGAGTTATGTCGGTCTTCGGGCTGAGGGCACTGGGATTCAGGGTTTAGTTGCTGACTTCATAAACCCCAAAAAGTGTACACCTTTTAGTTTTATAGTGGGTGATATTATCCAAACAAGTGCAAAGTGTATCCACTCAGCTACTAAGTCCATCACTGACACGCCTGCTGCTATCACTATGGAATTTGGGCACCCATTTTGCTCACTACTGTGAGCAATGTACCTGCAGTTACCTTACTGACAACTTACAACCCCAATTAATTACTGAGTCCCACGATCCTTTAAGTACCGCAATATCAGTCGTCGATTCGCATAGCCCTGCTCGCTAATAGTTTCTGTTACTGTCCCTGGTGACGTTCTCATGCGTTTACTTGCAACTTTCAACACTAGCCCAGAGGCTCCATATGTACTACCATTAGGGAATAATGAGGTCCCTAAAACCCATTAAGGATGGTCTTTTGGGAACTACTTCCATGATGGTAGTAGATATGGAGCCTCTGAGTACTTACCACATTCCTGAATCTGTTGCTCGACGAAATCCTGCATGGTCCATATTGAGGAACATACAATAAGCATTCGCGTTCCTGTATATGATCTACGCTCAAAGCATACCATACGTCCCCAGCGATACTTAACACAGATCAATCACATCCAGTTCCAGCGTAGCGTGTATGTCTGACAGGCCCTGTCTTTTTCTAGACCTTTGCCCTCAGCCTTAAAACGTAAACCCCAAACGCTAAAGCCTGAACCCTGCCTTATTGAAAAACATACATCTGTATACAGCTTCCCTCAAAATCTAAGCTGGGTTTCGGCACATAGGGTGTAGGACTACCTTTTCAGGGTTCCTTAGTATGGCTTATATGTATATATATATATATATATACACAGTGTCTTTATAAGAAGGAAGGCTTCTTGGGCCATAAGTAGGGTTGAGGATTACTTAAGACCCGCAAACGCAAAACGCCTACTTGGAGGATCATGGAACTTAGTAAGTACGGATATATCTACCTTGATTGGGGTTATAAACAATTATAACTGTAGTTACCTTACCTATAACCCCAATTACTAAGTCCCATGATCCTTTAAGTAGACCCTAAACCTAAACCCTAAACTCTTATAGTACCCCTATAGATCACTTAAAGGGACCCCTTAAGGACCCCAGTTACTAAGTCCCATGATCCTTTAAGTAGACCCTAAACCCTAAACCCTTATAGGACCCCTATAGATCCCTTAAAGGGACCCCTTAAGGACCCCAGTTACTAAGTCCCATGATCCTTTAAGTAGACCCTAAACCTAAACCCTAAACTCTTATAGGACCCCTATAGATCCCTTAAAGAGACCCCTTAACGACCCCAATTACTAAGTCAGGTTCCAAGTGGCTGAACCGGTCTGGACAACTCACTTTTGTGAAGCGACATCTCACAAAGCGCCGCGCGCAACTTGCTATGGCATCTGGGAGCCGCTAGCCCTGTTTAGGGTTCAAGGTTCAGGGTTTAGGGTTACTAAATCCCGGGAATTAAACAATATGCCTTTTTTCGGGTTAAAGTGGGTTAAAGGAGAACCCAAACCTTGAAAAATGGAATGAGGGCCTACTCTGGGTCCTAGCTTATGCAGTCTGACTCATAAGGTCGTAGCCTTGAAGAACTGATTTTAATTCAAGTTACTACCGGGGAACCTAACCCAGGCAGCGGCGCCTGCCCATACTCTCCCGTACCGGAGGCGGCTGGCTTGAAAGCGGCGAGCACGGGAGACAACATGCTGGGACTGTCTTTCTTTCAGTGTGTCTCGTCGTCGTCCTCCTCGTCGCAGCATCGCTGTCATTACTATTACAAGTCTTCTTCTGCTCGTAAATGTTTCGATATTTAACCAGTAGTATGATTATTAGTCGTATCAGTATTGTAACTTTGCTACAAGATGTTACAGGCATTGCTACTGCTTGTATTCCTCTGATGATTATTAGCAGCAGTAATTAATTGTGGCGGCGGTGCTGGTGGCGGTGGCGGAGGTGGCGGTGGTGGCCGTGGTTGTGTTGGTTGCTCCTGTTGTGGACTTGGGAAAGAACCAGCAACGTGCCGCCAGGGTCTGGGGTTTACCCACAGGGCCCTACCCCTTTTTGGGGTACCTAGTTTAAAGTCAATACCTGCTATATAGACAAGTGGTAAACCTGTAAAGGGGCAGGGTATGACCCTCCAAGTAGGGTGGAGACACTAAACTAAAAACCTTCAGATTAAGGGCTGAAGACCTAAATCCTAAACCCTTTGAGTTGCAGCAGATTCCCTGTTTTGAGTCAAGGTAGATTCCTGGATTGAGGGGTTTCGGAGATTTTGGGTGGGAGTAGGTTTAGGTAGATGGCTTAGGAAACTTAGAGTGCCCAACTCTATGACGAACTAGGCTCCGAGTTCCGCGTTCCTACTTGCAGGTTCATGGGTAGATAAGTACGGGGCAAGACTACATGCTACTATTGAAACATATGTTGAGACTAATCGTGATATAATCCCTGGGCTGACTTCTGAGCCCCTCCTAAAAGTTGTACTTTTAGCCTCCTTATTACAGTTCATACAGAAACCTAAAACTGAAAAGGTAAAGTCCGAAGAGCCAACCAGAAGAACACCAAGTTATAATCCTACATCCGTTCCAAAAAGACGGAAACCGCGAACCCTGCCTCCGCACAAGTGCACCCTCAACCGTAATCCCTTACCCCGACCTATAGTCTCCATCGTAGTTCCTCTTTTGGTTAGTTAACCAGTTTTATGGTTAGGATCCGATATTATAAGTTTTGGTTAACCAAAAAGGAACTACAATGGAGACTATAGGTAAACCCTAAAATCCCTAAACCCCCTAGACACTTCAACCCTGAACCCCCAAAGTCCTACCCCCTAAACACCTCAACCGACGATGCCCCTTTTGATTTCTGATTCGAATTTTCTACCATACGCTGCACCTTCCTGGGTAAGCCAAACGTTGAACCCTTTTCGCCCAAAGCTCTGAGCACCTCAATCTAGCGGCTCAAGGAATATGGTCGCTGAATCTGACGCTGTTGCGGGTTTTCAGGAACTCAATTGTTTAGGGTTTTAAAGTTGAGGGTTTAACCAGGGGCCTGAGGCAGCACAGATGGGGGTACTTGGATGGGTATATTCGAATATACTCATGTTACTCATACACTCCTGGGAATAATAAGGGGCCCTTTCTGTACCGTTTCTTCCGGCCTCTAGATTACACCTGAACAGGCTCCTCAAAAGCCCACTTAGTAATGAGAGTAAATGTTTTCTACCATTTGGTTGGAACCAAGGAACCTATCAAGAAAAAGGGCGAACGGCACTGCTGCGGAATCTAGTGCAGCCGGCAGCTAGGTCACCCTAAACCCTAAACCCGAAACCCCTAACCGTAAACCCCAAAACAGAATCCCTTCGCCTGCTTCAGCGTTGAGGGCATGGGATCGTAATCCTCGCGTTCTCACAGCTCATCTAAAGGCCGTAGTCGTTAGAATAGGGTTTTTGGGCCCACTTTTCTATAATCATGATAAGGAACCCCTGACAAAGTATAGGTTAATTCGCCTCGGCCCCGGCTCAAGCGGTCAGAGGTTCCTATTCGGATTCCCTCTATTTTAATCCCCTCCCCAGTGACCCCACACCAAAAAACGGCGCCACTGCCCCCCCCCCTTAAAAATGGAAACGTGTCACTGAGCTCCAGGGTACGGCGGTGAATTCTCGCCCCCTGTGGGCAGTCCCACCCAATTTTCCCCGCCCCCCCCTCCCCCCCGTCCTCCCCCCCCCCTCCCCCCTTCTCCTCCGCTCGCTGACAGGTGCGAGCTTTCTGGAGTTTTCGACGACACGGGACTGCAATGTAGCATCTTTATGTGTTGGGGCTCGCCTTTAAGGCTGCAGTACCAAGCGAGTTTCAAACCTGAATTCCTAACCCTACACCCTAACCCCAGCAGGGTCTTAATCATTGTTTGGGCCCCTATGTTGGTATCGAATTGATGGCTTTGCGTCTCAGGCTTGTTTTAAACGCCCTTTCGTTGGGATAGGCGGAGTAACCTGGTTGAAAAGGCTGTGATGCTTCCCTAATCCAAGACGCCCACGAAATCCACAGCCTCAACGGCCCATACTTAAGGCATCCCGCCGCTTGCGAGAGTCTTGGTATCCAGTGTTTCGGAATGACGACACCAAAATTCGTACTGATACTACCACTACTAATACTACTCACAATCATCCTGCTTCGTGTTGCTATGAACATTACTTTTACTATAAGTGCGATTCCAACTGTTACTTTTTTCCTACAAGAGCTTGCTGCAGATGGTAGCCACTCGCCGCATGCGCGTACAGCCGGGCCGAGGCGGACGACGCGCAACGTTTCAATTATATCAAGGCCCCCTTGTAGTACATGCCGCAATCGTTAGAACAGGGTGCCTTGAAAGGGCCCCTACAACGTTCCTATAGGGAAGTTATGGGATTTCTCACCGGATCTAAACATCGGTCTGTACCAGATTCTTTCAATTAAAGGGTCTGTGAACGGTGGCTCTCAAGAAAAAAGGGTTCAGGAACATCAATAAAGAGGACACGGCTTGCGTCCAATGAAGTATACTGATCATAAACGGACGTACGGAGTTAGAACTGGTTTTTCTTCAGACCCCTCAAGGACCTAAAAATGAAACCCTCAAGGGTATCCTACGAGCATAGGGACTAGGGTAGGCCTCCTCATTTACTGGTTCTATGTGTTGATTCCTTCCGACGGTGCGGATCAGGACCCCCAAGCACCCCTGACATCTGACAGGCTCCTGGAACAGGGTATGCTTTTAGGTATATTCTTGCCCTAAACCCTGAACCCTAAGCCGTAAACCCCAGAACAGGGTACCTTACAGTAAACTACCATTCTTTGTAGGTTCTTGTTCTACAGTCTGATAAAGACTTTATCGGGAACCGTACAAAGAGGTAGGTTTTGGTAGCTCAAGGTGCATTGGTGGTGGAGCCAGGCCACGACCTTAACACCCCCAAACCCTGCAAGACTAGGGTTCCTTATTATGATCACTTTGTAGAGCTCCTGAATGAAAGCGGGGGTAGTTCCAAAAAAGCAGCTACCCAAAGATCATAAGGCACCCCGCCCCAAAGTTCTATATTTGGGGTTGTATGCCTCCTGATAGTGATGCGAGCTTGGGGGTCTCGGGTAGGGCGTGAGTTGGGGTTGGGGTTTAGCGTGGCCTGGCCTCCTCCGTCTCATTCGTAACTTCACGAAGATGTCGTAACATCATCAGCTCCTGTAGCACTGAATTGCACTTGTTGTTGTTTTGAGAGGGGGGGGGGGCGGGGTAGGGTTTAGGGCCACAGCGTGTTTCGGGTTTCTAGTTTTGGCCAGTCGGCTGACCTGCCGCCCCAACCTACTTTCTTTTGCCGCTTTCTCGCTTCCTTCTGCCTACTTGTCGGGTATCATGGGGAACTGAAGGTTAACCTTTTTGGTTATATAGGGATTATATAGGGGCCATACTACCCAAAACTCGACTACTAGGTCTGATTTCTGTTTCTCTGCAATGCTTCTTTGCCTCGGCCTTCTGCTTCTGCTGCCGGAGCTTTGTCAGTGCTTCTGGTGGTTTTGTTTGTTTTTGTTTGGCTTGCTTCGTGCCCACAACTCCAGTCTTGGGCGCGTTTGTCTGCACTTTACGCTGGAACTGCCGTTGTTGCTCAGCTTTGCCGATATTCCTGCTGTTTCCGATGCCGTGAATTTTGACGTCATTTCCGTTTTGCTTCGCTTTCTTTGTTTCATTTCGCTCTGATCAATGGCCCAACCATGATGACGTCGATGATTTAATGGCCTGACCACGATGACATCCATGGTCTAATCTGGTCTGAGAAGAAAGCATCCATGGCCCGACCATGAGACATCCATGGTTTACCAGCAGCACCAGCAATACTTAACTTCCTCAAGCTTTCCAGAGCCCTGCTGCGCAACGTTGTTTCTGCAGCTCCGCGCCCTGAACACCACAAACGCCCTGCAAATCAGAGCACTTCGTGGGTTTCCGGAAGTGTCAAAACTCAAAGCCCTAAGGCGGCAAGTATCAAATTCTTGAAGTCCAAGAACAGAGGCCACCCACGACAGTATTGGTTCGATATAGTCTCCAAACAGGCGATTAAATTGGCTGAAAGTTTTGACCACTCCGCTCGGACTCAGGATTTTCTTGGTGTAAAACACCTCATACATAAACACGAAAGCTTTCGCTCACATCTGCTGGCTGCGCCGACGCGCAACGCTGAATCGTTTAAATTTCTTAGCAGAAGTGTGAGTGGCGCATGGCGGACTTAAAAAGGCGGCAAGTCAGTCGTCTACCTAGTTTTCGTACAGGGGCAAGTTTGGGCTTTTGGGGAGTTTGGGTATTTCGGGTGTTTACCCTAACCCCCAAAATAGTTTCTTTTTGGGTTCATACTGA